TCGGACTGCCAGCTTTTCCTTGCAAGTCAGTCTTGCCTGTCTGCCACGCCAGCTGCATGCCCTTGTTTAAGCCAGCCTGCGTAGTCAATCTTGCAAGGGGGATGTCAAACTCTGTTCATGCCTAACATCCCTCTCGGCTCTGCTCTCTCTCCTAGGAAAACCACAGAAGACTGCCAAGACCTCACCTGAGCTGTGCTTCAAGCCATTGATCCCCACATGTGGAGTCGTTGATTACATCCTACATCCTAAAGCACAAAAAAATTAACCCATCTCAGGCAACTCAGCTGATTAAATTCTTTTCCAATGGTCATGCTGGCCATCATTCTTCGAACCCAAAACCAAGCCTTGAGCTTCATGCTCAGTTTGCTGCAACAAAAGCTTCTGAGCACACACAGTATTTACTGAACATAGCCAAAAGTCTTCTACAATCCATCTCTCAATGAGGAAATAATTCTGTCCCCACGACTGAACTGGGAGCACAACATCATTTATGACTTGCCAGTTCCTGGTAATGTAGCTGTCTGTTGGCACTCAATATGTTTTAAAACATTTTTCTCCTCAAACAAATAGGCCATACACACAGGTCACAGGTCATGTCTCAAACCCAAAGACTGCTAAGAAGATGTGGCATGAGTCAAAATGCCTGTGTGTGTTCTTAGCCTACAGACCCCTAGAGTCAAATCCCAATGTTTTACAAGCAGCAGTTAGAAATCCCAAATCCTTTCATGACTGTCCAATTCTCCGCACCCCCACCCTCTCTCGTGATTAAAATACTCTACCTTTTCTTTTCCAGAGCACAGACCTGATCATGAAAGCACTCGTTCCGATAAGATAAAGCTAAAATCTGAAATCAGTGATCTTTCATATACAATAAACTACTTGTGTGCTTCTCCATGGCTGCCAAAAAACCCATTACATGGTAATGAAAGCTGGTGTCACCACCACAGAGACTAAACTAAGATCTCTGCATTTCGGTTTGACATCCTTAATCTTCATAGAGTTTGTATCACGTTGGAGAATAGCCTCCACTTTTCAATTTCTTACTGCACAGTTATTGTCTCTGGTTTCTTTTATCTCTCCCAGTTTAGAGTTCTAATCTCCAGCTTGTAAAACTTGCCGTGACTCAAATTGCTTTGTAAAAGGAACTTTGTTTCCATGCCCAGAATCAGAAAAGGGAACAGTGCTCTGAGACTGATACTGAGGTGATCGGCTTCTACTTAGTTGAGAGTGCAGCCAGAAGACAGAGGGGTTCACTGCTGTGTAGGCAGTTCTGCTGTGTGAGCTCTGAGCCACACTGAATCCCACGAAGGCAGAGCAGTGCTCCAGACACTACACCAGGAAACATTTTAGTGTCGTGCCAAACTTCAGATTTACAAATTGTGCACTGCTGTCCATCTAACCACCACCTTTAAAGGTATCCAACTGTCATTAGGCAGCATTGCCAAGCTCTCTTCTAATAATAAGCACAGCAATATCCCCAACATCAAAAGGTCACAGGAAGTGCATGCTTTGCAGATAGGGATTCGAAAGAGAACCACTGGTGGCTCCACCCTATATTAGCAGCCTAGCGTGTTTCCCATCATAGCTGGGTGGGGGGTTCGAGGCTGGTGTCGCTGTTTAACCACAACGCTGGTTCCTCACAGTGGAGGAAGTGAGCATCAGAAGTGTGCTGGTGATAGATTAAAAAGCAGCGCTTGCCCTGGCATGTGAGCTTTTCAGGCCCCCAGATGGCCGTTAGAAACAATTCATGGTGGGAAAGGTGACAGGGTTGGGCAATAACGCCAGGAGGAAACAGAATATGAAGGGATATACAATGTGCAGGAGGTGCAGTGTTTAGCATAGCTGCCTCACTGTGTTGTGGCCCTGGGATCAATTGTGGCAGTGGGGTGCTGTCTATGTGGAGTTTGCATGTTCTACCTATGTTCGCATGGGTTACGTATGCTCCAGTTTCCTCACACAGTCCAAAGACACACTGGTAGGTTTAATGGCTTTTGTGAAAACTGGCCCTGATGTGAGTGTGTGCGTGTCTGACTCTGTATGTACCCTGTGATGGACTGGCGTCCTGTCTTGTGTCTGTTGCTTGCTGGGATAGGCTCCAGCTCTCCCATTGGATGAAGTGGTTAGAAAATGAGCTCGACAGTCTCACCACAGATGCAGGCGAGCGTGAAGATCTTCAGTGAGGAAAGGTGGGGTTCGGCAGGGGTGGAACTACTGAATTACTCTCAGCTCTGCTATTTTATCTCAATGCCCCAACATAAAAAAATGGAATACTGGAGTTCAACTTAATAAGAACAGAAGAAAGCTTACAAATCAGAGAAAGTAAAGCTGCCCAGTCATCTTGTTTGGTTGCTACAAGCTAATTGATGTGATCTCATCCAGCTGTTTCTTGAAAAGGCTGTTTACAGTGCTCCATACTCCCACAACCCTTTGTGTAAAGAGGCACCTCCTGTTCTTAGCCTTAAAGGCTCTTTCCTCCAGGTTCCACTTTGTCCTTAAGCTCTAATCAGGTCACAGAGGTATTTATGCACTTAATAACATTGTTTTGCATTTCATGACCTGTCGTTTTTCATTACAGTTTAGCTCTCAAATACACATAACCGAACCCTCATTTGACTAAATAAAAGAATGAAGGCGAACTCAGTTCCTAAACATATTGGAACAGGTGATTTTTCAAATTAAGTTGCTTACGAAACGCATATTTCTAACTTCTGAGAAGACAAAAGCCTTGAATCAGTCCAGTCAGAATTCAAAGAAAGGGCTCTGCCGGAACAAAACCCAGCAGGTACCCGGGGGCCCAGAGAGAAGATCGGGAACAGCGGTGATTGTACCATCCTTGAAAACCCCCTCCGGGTAACTTGTGCAGTTCGAGCGCTCGGGACGATCCGCGAAATTCTGCAAGAATAAGACAAGGCGACATTTCTCCCACCAGTGAAAGCGGGGGGAAGTTAGGTATGTCATGTCGTATCCAATTCAGTATCCCCTGGAAATCGGTATCCCCCTCCTCCGTAATGCGCTCCACAAAACTTTCCAGGGTACTTTATGGTCTAGGCAGCTCCTGCGTGCGTTTGTGCTTTTGCTTAATACGATATCGTTAGAAAGGAGCCTGTTTGTGCGAGTTTTTATCGGTTTCTTTGCGCATTTAATGCGTTTGGTAAGGATTAATCTATTGTTTTACTGCCACCACGTGAATGAAACCTTAAATTATCTTTACACAAGATAGGGCACACACACACATATAAATGATTTAATACGCTGACGACGAGAAAGCTCTGAGGTGAAGATGCATGCGCAATACACCAAGCCACTTAATCGATCAATTAATCAATCCATCTCTTCATGTCAGCTAATCTATAATTATCTCTACAGACATTCCGTCTACCGGAACCGTGTTTGGTGGGAACGGGTCATTCAAAACCTATTTGTGTCCGATTAAGTACACAAAAATACACGGCTAAATAATTAAGAACTACATAATTCCCGATGAAAAATATTTTATTTGTATCCTTATCGGTATTTTTTAAAGTGGTTTACTTTATAAAGGTACAAACCGTGCAAAAAAAAAAACAGATATAGGAGATTACATTAATACCGTATAAAGACTAGATATCTGGTAGCTGAATATATTGCGTCCACAAGCGCACAAAGCTGGAACTTAAAACAGTTTATCATCTTCTAATCTAGACTCCAGACAACACAATTTGCAAGGAAAGTAGTTAACTTTAAATCAATAGCATCAGAAAATAATGCTCACAAATCGTTTTGAACCGATACAATTAGCAAAAAACTACAGTTTTTTATTATTAAAACCTAAAAGTACAGTTATTCGAGTGCGGCTTTTATTACTTGTGTAGACTTACCTTCAACAAAGGGCTTGTGCAGTAGTCCAAAAGCACGAGTTGAACAGGCGAACAAAACAGCTTTGATGTTAGCACAAAAGGAAAACGCTAGAAAACCATACGTTATCTTTTGTCGATTTTACCACAAAAAGCTGTTGATTTTTGCAATTTTACAATTTTTAATTGTATTGGCTTTATGCATTTCTTAATATATATTCTTGTTCAATGCAGTAAAACGGTAATATCTGAGATTCAATTTACAGTAGAATACGAGTGATGTCAAGCAGCGCAGACACTACAATAGACCCGCTGGCCTGTGCAGTTGCAGAACGAAAAGCATTGAATAAAATATAGACTATAGAAATAGAATCGTCATGTTCCGAATCGCTGTGTCCAGTGCATCTCTTAGGCGAGTTTTATTACTATTTTTTTTTCAAGCACCACTTTCCCCAAATGGATCATAAAAAACCACAGCAAATCCCATGGTCTCCCGCTGTAGCGCACACCGGCGGCTGGCTGATCAAGCTCACAGGTGTCTTGTGCGAGTTTGTTCTTAATTGCAAAAAGTAAAAATAGCTGTAGAGTGGGGGACACACGCATTTCCGCTGTTCAGGGACCGAAGATTTAAATCAATGTTAATTTTCATTGTGGGATATTACGCTTACATTGGAAAAGATACGAAGTCATTGATTAGCAACAGTATGTTGTTTGTGTTTCTGCTGCTATTAAGTGCATGTATACTCGACATTAGACCGTTACGGACTGCAAAGGAAATCGCTCTTTTTTAAAAGGCTGTACAGGATGTAATCTGGTTATAATATGTATATAACGCCAAGATCGTTTTTCTCTAATGATTATATATTGATGCAACCGTCGTAAATCTTAAAGCGCTGAAAAGTTATCGCTAACAACTGCAACAGATAATAGAAAATTAGTTGTGCGGAATATGGGTTCGTAACAATAATAGAAGATAACCTATAAGCTTAATGCTAATTGTTGTGTTGTTGCTGTTCATTAATAATGTTGAGGCTTTTGCTTGGCATACACTTGAATACTTGTGAGCAACTGTTGTCTGTTGAAACCAGACTGAAAATAAAAACTTAGTGTTTACATGTATGAAGCCTTAGGCGTTTGTTCTCCGTTATGTGAGGAAAGAAAAACTCGACACCGCAGCCGGAAAACACACTGAACAAATTGATTTTTACATTACAGTTCTTTTCTCTCTCGTATTGATTCTGTTTTGCATTAGCCTCTCGGTAAATAGATATTAGAGTAATTGTAGGAGTCTGTCAATGCATACTAGTACAAGCCCAGCATAAAAAAATACGTCAACAACAAAGAAACGGTAGAAGATATTTTCTAGGACTGGAGGGGAGACAGACTGACCGCTTTTAGACATGCTTGGGTGAATTGCCTACTGTACGTCTGGACATTACGCCGTGTTAAGTTTTTATTTCCAGCAAAATAATCTTGGTCTGTTACTAGAGTGATAATTTGGTGATCTCATTCAACATTGTTGTAGAAGACCACTGTGGCTGTATTGTAGGTGGGGTCGCAACTATAGGGGCTACAGCGCAGAGCGCAGCTCTTGCCAGCTTTCACCATTTGTCGGAGCGCGTCACTCCATACAGATGTTCACAGTGTGAGTCTACTGTACATAGTACACTGGAGCTGCGCCGTGGAGGATACGGGAATTATTTAAAGCATAAATAACTCAAAGACTCAAGTCAAACCAGTCGAACAGATCGAAAAACAACCCGGACTCAAGCGGAGAGACGGAAACTGCGCTATCCGTTTTGGACAAACAAACGAGCACCCATCGCAACTGGATATGGCTTTGAAATTACCTTTCCCGTCACTCGGGTGTTCACAGCCATATAATGAACTTTAAGGCAAACTTTTTTTCCCAAAGAAAACGGAAAGCTGTTTCTTTAGGAAGTCGCCATGGTCGAAGAGGCTAACCATACCGCCGCTTCCAATTCAACTACGACGATCGAACAGGGAATGGCCATCCCCGCTTTCATGTTCGCGATGGGAGTCGTGGGGAATATCATCGCCATAGCTGTGCTTTCGAAATCCAAGCAGGAGCGCAAGGAGTCCGCCTTCTACTCGCTGGTGTGCGGCCTGGCCGTGACTGACCTGCTAGGTACGTGTCTCGCCAGCCCAATTACTATAGTGACCTATCTCGAGGAGAAGTGGCCGGGTGGACAGGCTCTGTGTCAGTTCCACTCCTTTCTTCTGCTCTTCTTTGGAGTGTCCGGTCTGGGCATTATCTGCGCCATGTCCGTGGAGCGCTACCTCGCTATCAACCACCCTTACTCTTACCAAAGGTGGTCTATTGACCAGCAGGCAGCGCGCTGGTCCCTGTTCGCCATTTACCTGGGGAACATCGTCTTCTGCTCTTTGCCCATGATGGGGCTCAGCAGAAGCGTCTTGCAGTACCCCGAGACGTGGTGTTTTATCGACTGGAGGACTACGTCCTCGCCCCACGCGTTCTACTCCTTCCTGTACGCCGGCGTGAGCTCCCTGCTCATCCTTGTGACCGTCGCCTGCAACGTCGCGGTGTGCGGGGCTCTGCTGGTCATGAGGCGGCGGACGCGGGGTAGACTCGTCGCTACAGACAGTCTGAGGACCAGATGGACTGCACGCACCTCCGGAGCCGAAATTCAGATGATGCTTCTTCTCATAGCCACATCGATAGTCGTGTTAGTGTGCTCCACGCCCCTGGTGGTAAGTAAAACCGTTTATTTGGGCAAATATTTACCAGCATAATTAGGTCTTCATTTCAGCACAACGAAAAGAAACGAACTGCCCGAACCTTCCTCGTTTAAAATGCTTTTTAAATGTTGGTTTAACCAGATGCACATGCAATATTGATTTGAACACAGAATTCGGCTCCCGTGTGAACCCTCGTTTACTTTCCACGCACCTTTATCTGAACTTTCCAAGAAATTACTGAAGTTTCGTCATGTGTGATTTAACCTGTCGACACTGAACAAGGGGAGAAGTACTACAAGCAAGCGTAAAATATGGAAGAAGGGTGCCGTAAATAAGATTCCTTGTAAATAATGGAGTGTAGACGCGTTTCATTAAAATTAAATTATAGTGCTTTCACGAAGCACTTATGAGGCTGAAGCTGCAATTACATGGAACTACTTTAAATGACAAATAACTTACCAGAAATGGTAGCTTGCGCGGCTCCTAGGAGGATTAGAACATGATAGCATTTTCATCTAGTGACAAAATACCTTGTCATGAAGACTGTAGGAACGCAAAGCTCTTTGGGCAATAGTGTGCTTTTCGCAAACACACTACAAATATAGACAAAAGAATATCTATCGGGACTTCAGTACCCGAGAACCTGCTAAAAAGTATTGCAGTTTTTTGTTTTACATTTCTTGCGTTCAGTGTGTTAAAAACACAGTATTCCAGTGCGTCATCTTTCAAAATTATATATGAACGACATTTGGTGGAGTAGAGAACACAGATCCAAATGCACGAAAGAAAACGGCAAAGAAAAAGAAAGTTTGATCAGTTTGGAATTAGTTTTCTTTTTCGTTTTTTTCAGTTCTACCGCGGGACAGCAAAAAATACCTCAATAATCAATGTTCCGCTAATATCGAGTTTCTCTCTTATGCTCAATGTTTTATTTAAACAAATGACGAGGTAAAGAGTGTTCTATGGCCCAGCTTTTGTAATAAACGTTATCCCTAATTAACCCCTCAAAAGTTAACGTTAATGAACACATTCCGATTAAGAATTACCACCCTATTTAAAAATGTCTATTTAAATTCAATGGAATATTAGCAGCAAGGCCGCGTTGCCTACATATTTCCAGTTCTCATTGACACACTGTGAATTATATAAAAGATCCCAATGTTTACAGACTAATACCACTAAATAGAGGCAGGATTTCAGCTTCCTATTTAAACGCATAATTTCTTTGCACAACGTTCTTGCATGCGTGTTCCCTTTAGACTCTGTGTCCTGCTCCAACTCTCATCTGTGGTATAATGATGAATCAGCATACATAACTGAATCGTTTTTTAAAAATGGCAGTGCTGTAACAGCCGGAAACGACTTCCAACACTTTGAAAAGGGCACGTCTGGTATGGGAAGCCCACGCAGTTTTTGCGTGGAGGCGAATCCTGTTGGTGTCGCTACTGTTAAAGCATAGCCTACACTGCATGTAGCAGATCCTAGTCTGCTCCGTTTGAACACATAAAAATACGCAACAAGCAGCACTAGTATTTTTGGTGCTGTTTGTAGTTGGTTTCCATCTCGAAGCCTGTGCGGATCTTAAACCTTCCTTTCCCCTCGTCAGGTGCGGATCTTTATCAACCAGATAGCACGGCCGGAGGCGATAAAGGACCAGAACACCAATCCCGACTTGAAGGCCATCCGCATCGCCTCGGTCAACCCCATTCTCGACCCCTGGGTCTACATCTTGCTGAGGCGGACAGTGTTTCACGGGATTCTGGCTCTTTTCAAAAGACTCTGCCGCGGCCGCACCAACTCGGTCGTGCCGGGGCAGCAGCAAGCAGTGCGCTACCTGTTGGCCGTGGACAAACACGGCGCCACCGAGTCGACGGCGCAGCGCCCTCCGGTGCCGGGTAACCACGCCGCCTCTTCCTCCGGCCCCGCTGCCGCCGAGGAGCCGAAACGAGAACCGGGGGCCGCGTCCCCGCTGGAGACTCAGGACCCCGTTAAGGTGGAGGAGAGCCACGCAGAGCCCGCAAAACAGAGCCCTTTGTCGGCGTCTGTGGCCGGTCAACAGACGACCGTACTGGAGAACGGATATAAATTGAGATAGGAAACAAATGTAATTAAGCATCTTTATTTACAAAAGCAGCTTAAAGGCCATTTATTACCTTCCGAGGGTTGAAGTGGATAAAAAAACACTATAGGAAATCCAAACGGTACATTTAATGAAATTACGCACCGCCTTCAGGTGTTCAAAGACATTAGTGCTCAGTTTGTGTTTAAGTGTAATGTTATCGCTCTCCATTCTGTTGCTACTAAACGTTGCACAAAGAAACGTGGACCTGCTGTATCAATATATGTGTTTCACTGGACAGGAAACCTGATGTATTTTTTTCTTGTTTAGTTGCAGTGTTACTGTGCCAAAACACATTTCTTTAACCTACAGGGGAATGCACTGTGAAACTATAACGACCCTCCTGTCAACTTGAATCTCGGCACCAGAACGTCCAAGTTGCTTTTACGTGATGTTCTGGCACCAGCAAAGAAAGGTTAAACAAGATCAAATCTTCAACGTGGAATTTCATTTTAAAAATCCGCCAATAAGAAAAAACGGGAAAGTAAAAATGCGCGGTAACCTACGAAAGGCAGATTGCTGGTTTACTTTAATGGCGACTTTGTGAAGAAAACGATTTTTTATCCCTTGTGCAAGAGTGGTACAAAGGACTGCTCTTAATTGGGTTTTTAGCTTTGTCAGTTATTGAAAATGTTTATTCTAAATGCAGTTGTAAGAAAGAAACTAATGTGGACAGAAGTTTAGTTTGTCACTGCACCGATCTAAAACTCCAAATCGGGTCATTTAAGACATTTTCTACAGAAGGTGGATACAAATAGCCTATCAGAAAGTAAAGTGGTGTCTAGGATATATGCTTTCAAATGTTGTTAACCGAGTCAAAGTGTTGGGTTTATCCGAGCCCAACCTATGAGCCGGTGTTGTCCCGTCCTGATGCTACAGGCTGATGTGTTGGTAGGTTTTCATGCCAGCTCATCTGTTGCCAGGCTTAATTGGCTGGTTTTAGAACAACTGGACTAAGATAATAGCTTCTCCCGTCTCTCCAGGTGCTGCTGTTTTAAAGAAACATAGAAAACCTGCAACCAAACCAGGACTGGACACCCCTGCTGCTCTAAACGGCATTCACAAATAGGCATATCAAAGTACTTTGTTAGCAGCTAAGAATCATGCTAAACCAAACTTTGAAGACGTAAACCTACATCATCAGAATACAAGTGCAATTTTACGCTTATTTAGAGACATTTTATGCAAAATCAGTGTAAAGGAACTACTGTACATACCTAAGTATTCTGGCCAAGATGTGTGTTGTACCGCTAAGCACATGGTTTATCACAGACAGTACTGAAGATATATTATTTAATTTCCTAATTTAAACCAAATGATCTTTATTGGATTAATTTTACACTCATCCTAGTCATTCTAGGGGTAGAAGATTGAATATCTGGGGGACCTAATTTCCTCTGGTTTTCGTTCAACCTGAATTGTCAATTAAACAATTAACCTTACTCTCACATCCTTTGTGTCTAAGGTCATTTACAGTTGAGAAGTCCAGATTTCACTTCATTAAAAGTGCAGATTTAATGAAGATAATACATTAACAAGTATAAAACTAAATAAGACCTATAAGGAATAAGGAATAAGACTCAATTTCCTAAAGGTTGTGGTGTCTTCTGTTTTTGTACACCCTGACTCAGTTGCATGGTGGTGTAATAACTTAATGAACTGTATATTGTATTTATATCATATTTATTTCTAGCCTGTGTCCAAAGTGTTTTAGTATCTTATAAATAACTGTACGTTTGACAAAGTGAATGTTTCCACTTATAAACTGTAAAAGGCTTTAAGGAACCTCCTTGTGTCCAAGTGAGAAAAGGTTTGCTGTTAATTGACAGCCTGCACTGGAACACAACGCAGAAGACATGAGGCCCTGCAGAAACTGGGTTCGACACCCCTGGTCCACGGTCTCTCATCTTCCCCAGTAGTCACAGACTGGGAATTACAGCGACGGGACTTTGAAACGCTTCTCTATTAACATTAAACCCCGTGAGGAAGGAATAAACGAAGTTGGTGAAATACCTTCAGAGCAAGGCGACGGGCGCTGTCGTTCTCGTCTGTCCCGTTTCCCTGCGGCCGCCGTGAGCACACCGGGGTGCGGGCAGGACCCAGACTAGCTCAGGGGCAGCCTGTTGGCTGGCTTCTTGACTTCCAGAATTCCAGGGACGGATCAGGCTGTTGTCCAGGTGTTCCCGTGAGCTGGCCCGGTGGAGGTGCCCGAGAATGCCCAGTTCCATGGCCATCGTACCCCCACACCACGGAGCGATTCAGGAACGCTAGGTGCCCACCCAGCCACCCCACCACTCCCATCTGTTAGCTCTTGCATGTCGTGTGACCACTGTACCTCTGGACACCGGTCATTCAGATACTCCCTCTTATCATGGCAACCGTGGTTTTGAGCTAGGACAGTTGTCCATGCTGGGTCCCTGGGGACATTGACTACCTTTGGCTGAGAAATTTACTGCCGGCCCACTGCCCTGCAAGCAGTCTGAAATAAATCTGTGTCTTTAGATACACATACTGTACCCAAGGTGCCTTCTCAGCTAGGGAGAAATCCATTGCTCTTCAAGAAATAATGGAATTTGTGGGGAGTGGGGTTGTAAGGTTGAGTTTTTATCTAGATGATCAATCTGACCAGTCAATTCTTAAAGGAAGCCGGGGTATCATCCTCAACCATGTGGCTGAGTAGCTTGTTGCAGACTCCTACAACCCTTTGTGAAAAGTAACATCTCCAGTGCCATCCCATGTGAACTTTCACCAGCTTCCACTAGTAAACACCAGCTGTTCTGGTTCGGGTTTTACTGTTGATCTTTGAAGTACATTGGATTGACTCTGTCAATATTTGAAATCTGCATTTAGATACTGTAGTTGGGTCCTGCTTTAGTCCCTTGTTCAAGACTAAGGAGATGTTTCTTCTTCTAAGCTGTGCATGTAACATTTCATGCAGTGTATACCTTTAACAAGGCCTGTCTACTAACAAGCGGGAAACTCTAAGAGGAGTTTGAAGTTCCACTAAGAAAGATTAAGAAAAAAAATCTGCACAAAACTGTGAACTCTTTTTGCATCTCTACAAAGAAACACACCAAAATAACAGAATCAATTCCATAATTCTGTTATTATTTATTATTTTTACATCTTACTTTTTAAAAATAAAAAATTAAATACACCATCAGTGCATAGATGCACCAATTTTAAATCATTTTTCATCTCCTTGTATCTAGACACCATAAATAAAATCTATAAACCTCGGTTCAGTAAAAATGCCATTTTGCTCTTCGATCATGTTCACATAAAAACATTAAAAACCAAACAGACTAATAATAGCAAAGAAACGTTCCCCATGAGTACCAACCCCACCATATACATTCTGATAATTCACTTACAGCAAAAAGACCTTAAAGAAAACAAAATCCTAAGGATATGTTTTTGAATCCATGATTAACAAATGAGCAAGTCTTAAATCGATTTCCGAAGTTTTGAAAACTGTCTCTAAAAGCAACTTCCATTTGCAAGTAGATACCTATTTAAACTAAAACTGTGTTTTTATAGTGCAGGCCAAGTGAATCTCATAAGAAAACAGTTTTTCAAATTAATCGTAATCAATCTCTAAATAATTATTGGTACAGTTTTCTGCAGAGTGTAAGGAGTGGAGGAGCTACTGTGATATGTTCTATTTCCTTCCATTGCTGCTGAACTGAACGGTTCACAGCTCATGTTAGAAACACAGTTACAAGGCTACATGCTGTGAACCCTGGGGTTCTTTGAATCTAATGCCAGCTGTGAAACATGCCGATATGAAATCGGTTGGTTACAAGAATGCTAAAAAATTGGATGTGGCATCCTATAAAATCTCTTCTTTCAAAACATTGTTGTTGATGGCAGACTTGAGGTATCAAGAACAAAAACAGTTACAGTTTTACCATAATAGTGCACCAGAATGGTTGAGCTGCGCAAACTTCAACAATTAGATCCATGCCAAGCCTACACAGTTTAGAACAGTTTTCACCATCACTGTTATTTTTAATGTTACTATGACATTAAGCATTAGAGAAGCTGTTATTCTTAATACTAAGCTTGAAGAAAAAATACTGTAACCCAATCAAATTGACACATTATGGTACCTGGTATTGGATTACATCTGGAATGAAAGACTGAGGTGCAGTAGACTATAGGAGAATCGATGGGGACGTCTTTGGAGTAAATGAAAGTTAGAAAAGTCAAGAGGCTGGAGAGAAATCCAGACGATTCAGAACATGAATACAGTGGGGGTTATCCCTGTGGAATCATTAGATGGGGAATAAATCAGTTTCAGTAGTTCCTCTGAATGTATGATTTGCTATACAAAATTAAAAAGGATTTTTCTCTCATCAGAGAAACAGTGAACTCACAAGTTAAAAAAAAAAAGAGCTGTGGTATAACCACCTCCATTTCCGACCCCCCAGAGCACAACATGGCAGAAGCTGAACAGCTGTCTGCTCGTTACGGGACAGTGCCACTGTAGTCCAGCTCTTCCTGGGGAGCTAGTGTTGTGCTAGCAGTATCTTCTGCCATAGCAAAAAAAGATTTCTTTCTGGCTAGGCTTTCAAAATATATTTATATAACCCTTTCATCTTTAAATATTCATTGCAACTTTGTATGCATTAATTATTCATCTTGTTATAAAACAAATAAAACCCCACTAATCTTACTGGTAGTTGGTAGGGGAAATGAGAAAGCATTGAAACAAAAATATACTGTAGTATTCTGTAGCCTACATGGGTACTAATCAATGCTCAATGTTTCCTGAAACTGCTTGACTAATCGTAGCTGGACTACATTGACAAAAACACTTTCAGATTCACTGAAGAAAATACAGCCAACACTATTTTAAAAATAGAACTTTGGAAACAAATTTGTGTACTGCTGTTCATAGTAGGTTTTCAATGTGCTTATAAAATAAGCCAGGTAGTACAGCATCTAAAACTAAATCAATACCTAACTTCTTTGTAGACATTTTAGTTTAGCTATTAAAAACCAAATACCAGTATGTTCTAATTTCTATAAGGAAAACAACCCCCCCTCCCCCTTTATTTTTTAAGATGCTGGTCATCAACACAGGAAAAGCACTGTGATTTATCATGAACCAGCATCTCCCTAACATGTGTCCTATCCTGCACTCACTTCTTGAAGTGGCATTCAGTCTGGACACGTACTGTATTCACACATTCTAGACCATATCAAGGTGACCTGATTGTCAGTGACTGATTGTTCCCAAAATAAAAATGCATATGTTCAAACAATGCAACCGAATTACTGTACGTACCTTATTTAGAATTTATACCATGCTGTTGCAGGCGTTTTCAATTCAGACCAGAAACATTTTCATGTATTACTCCACTAAGCCATGTAAGGAACAACTACAGCCCTGGATGGAGGTGGATTTTCACCCCTCCTTTATGTTCTTTATGACTTAATTGACCTAATTCTGAATTTAATTGACCAATCCAACACTACAAAGGTGTTCAGCAGTTGATTTAAAAAAAGACCTACAAAACCTATTTTCCTTGTAATCATAAGGACTTCATTATTATAGACTCGATTGTCTATAATATATCAATACTACGCTCTTTACATGAATTAAACAATTTAGACACTTTGCATAATAATTAAGCTAAAATACAGCTTAGAACTAGCAAGATCAAGTTCCATCTCAACCTGAGGGATAAGCAGAGCAGCTCCATTTCCTATTATTCATCCGACTGATGCTTTTAAATTTTCAAACTGACAAATTCGCACCGATCCAATACAGCTGGATATGTTACTGGAACAATCTGAGCGAAGTACCTTGCTCAAGGATACAACAGCTGTGCCTCTCCTGGGATTTGAGCTTGCAGCCTTCCCGTTTCAACACCAGAAACCCGACCACTGTCCCACACTGCTGCCTGTTCTGGAGCCAATCTCTACGAATGGCTTTTTACACTGTAACTTACACCCAGATCGCAAGCTAAAGTTATCATCACCCAAGGGTGCCTTAAACTGTGAAACAGGCGAGAGAGGGCAGGTAGCTGTATTATTGGTCTGACAACATCCACTATACATTAAAAGTCTTTAACATATAGACTATACTTACACTGTCAAATCAATTATTCTGTGCTTTTTTCAGCATTGAGAATATAAAAGGAAGGACAGCCACTCCACTACTACCAGAACAATACCAGAGCCTGACTCCTTCCTCTGCCACAAGGAAGGTGAGGACCAGCTCAGACTCACACAGCCTCTTCAGCACGGTGCTCTAGCTTAGCCGTGTTGAAGGGTAACCTGATCTGGGGGGTCCCACCCCTCGGCCTGAGCACCCCAGGTCTTCTTGTCGTCATGGTAACTGAGCCCCGAATCACCAAGGCTACCTGACCCCTTTAGTAGAACAGTTGGCTTGATTAGACTGCTTTACTCATTTCTACTCCCAGCTCGTAGTTTCTGAAGTATCTTGCTCTCAAGAAGCATTTCTGTTTTACCCCAAGACAAGAAGTCTCTCTCTCCTCAGCTTGCTCCATACCTCTGTGAGCAAAAACTCTGAAGGATGACAAATTCATTACGTCCCAACACAAGCGGCAATAGAGCTCCAACAGTACACCAAGCAGGTTCGAGTACTGCCCGAGTCCAGTTGCATACGTTGTATAGGCCCGAGAGAGACGACTTCTCCAGCACCAACTGGCACAACTGGGGCAATCCCAAAGCCCACTTAAAACAAGAGATATCAGACAGCATGATCGACTGACCTCAGCAATCAAGAGATGAGCTGCAAAGCGATGCAGAGAACACAGGGGACCTCAGGACGAAGACAGAAAGCCACTGGCGAAGGTGGCGCAGGACGAAAACTCTGCACAAGCCGTTTGCACTCGTAAAACAATCGTGCAGAAAAAAAAGGATTTGTAAGAGGCATGCTGTATAAAGATCTGCATAAATATTCTCAATATCTATTGTTGTTTTTAGAATTTGGCCTCACCCTAGGTCTGGACCAAAGCAAATATTTCAGTTGGCTGCTTTCTGGTCTCTATTTGACATTTTGCCTTGAAATAAAACATGGTGAGCCTCTATTATCGGGTTAAAAAAAAGCAGCACAGGCGATATCAGAAACGCATTTCATGAACTGGCCGATTGCAATTCATACACAATGCTATTTGGAAACAAGAAACTCTCCATCATACCCATACTGAGCTGGCTTTGTGGTCAAGTGTTTTGACAAGTCAGCAAATATTTATTTTGTCAACGCAAATTAAAGCCTCCATCCATCCTCCTCTCCTAAGCGTGCTTTTCATTTCCGCTCGGAGCAGGACAGCGACCTACGTCACAGGGGACACTCACGCACAGACTGTGTGCCACTGGGGCCCACGTAACAGGTCCTTCGTTATAAAGATGGGGAGCAGGGGGAAGGGATACGATAACCGGAAAACCTCCTTCAGATTTACGGCTTACAAATCCACGTGGTTTATTCTCCTGTAACTCGAGGAATTCCACCAAGCGTCTTCACGAAAAAGACCGTCTACGAAACAAAGGCTAAATGCACTGTAAACATCCTGCCTGTCTGCTTACAAGGCAGCTGTGTTAAAAAAACAGGAGAAATATGTGAGAAAGACAAAAAAAAAAAGATCTGCCACAACGACCATTTGTATTTTACTTTTCTATCAAGACACCTGCAGCTATCTTCTGTAAACACGATACGTTTTGCATGATACTGTTCGGCACAGCCACTGTATAACCAGAGACAGGTTTTGTTCTTGAATCAAAGCATCACTTCTTTGCAAAAAAAAATAAGAGGGAGGAAGAGGGTACAAGTAGAAGCATTGCAAACATCAACCTCACTCCCCACCGACAAGCGACGTGATGCTTCTGCAAGGACACTGGCATGTCAAAAAGATGGACCTTCTTTGTACAGTAAAACAGTCACTGGTTGGTGTCCTCCCAGTTCAGAAATGACACTGGGGCGCAAAGCACCAGTACAAGATGTGTTAGTTTGCAGTCAGTGAAATGAAACGGGTGAAGAACCGTCTCGGGACAGGAAAAGAGGGGAGGCAATGACGCCTTGCTTGAAGACCGCTTGAAGAAAAACAAATTGACCGGTCGCTGGACAGCTTGGCCACGTGCACACTGCCCCTCCCAATACTGGCGTTCCTTTCCCTTTCCCGTCTCGGAAGGTTTCCAACCGCGCTGAAGACGACGGGGCTCCAGTACAAGGGCCGACGTGGCCCAGCCTAAATGTCATACTGGTTGGATCCGTACCCCATTGTGTAGGTCTGTCGGCTGTACTGGAAGTGATCCGTCAACACGTTACTCCTGCCGTACTGGAAGTCCGAGGTCTGGGGGAAGGGGCCGGTCCCGTTGGGCTGCATTTTCTCCAGGGTCACGCTCCCGTGATTGAAGGAAACCAGATCCTGCTTGGAGACGGGGAGCAGTTTCTTCTTGGCCTCTTGATTTGCATCGTATTTAGCCTATTGGGGAATAAAGGCACGAGAATTAACCCCGGCCACACCATCTAACCCTAACTCTACTGCCCAACTCCAGCCATCCTTACTTTAGTAATCCCTATCCTTAGCTCAAACGGCAAACGCAGATCCAACACAGAACCGAGCTCCAGCTTAAAACTGGAGAGGCATATTAAAAACGTCAGTCCTATGCAGAAACCTGAGCTCTCACTATGGTAAGAGTGAAGGTCCGTGTGGTCTTTTTCTCCCCAAGGAAAAACAGAAACCAGACCTCAAGCTAACCCCAGCCCTACAGCAGCCTCATCCTAAGCCAGAGCCCCCTGCCTGAGCTCCAGCCTCAATGGTAACCCTCACCCTAGAGGGGCTCAATCCCTGATGGGAATCCTGCAGACCTGCGATGTGACACAGCCCCACCTTGCATGATCGGCGTTAAAGGAAACCAAAAAGATCTACATTAACTGCAATGCACTGGCTTGGGGTCGTGCTGGACCAGGCGGGTGTCACCTTATTGTAGAGGAAGACTCCCAGGATGGCGGTCATCATGCCCAGCATGTTGGTGGAGCTGACGGGGTTCCTCAGCATCAGCAGGGAGACGCTGATCACCATGATCCTCTTGGTGGCGTTGGCCACGGCGTAGCTGAGCGGGCTGACCAGGTTGAGCACGCTGAAGGCGATGACGTTCTGGGCGAAGTTGCAGAACCCGCTGATCACCAGTAGCAGCAAGGTCCAGGAGGAGTCTGAAACCCCTGTCTGAGAGCCAGCGGAGGAGAGAGGGAGCGAGGGGACAGAGGGGTCAGATCCAGACTCCGGAGGCACCGGGCAGAGCCCTGTCCATAACACACTGCCTCTGTCTCTTTTAACCGAGTGGCGTTTTTAAACCAGAAATGTGGGGGAGAAAAAAAGAAGTGATTCTGAAAGCTCTCCCATTCAAAGCCTTGAGAGGCAAGACTTTCCCCGATGCAATACAATTTTAGTGCTTTTTCAGGCATTTTTTGAAAGAAATTTCAGTAAAGGTGGAATGCACAGGTAACCAGCCACACACTTTTACTTTTTACTGATGTGTGTCGTTTGCATTTGTTATAAATGCTTTTGTTATATTTTTAAATGATCCACACATCATCATAACGGTCTCTAAAAGATGTTTGCTCTGCGTTTTAATCACGATGAAGGACGATGCTCCTTTTTCCACGAAAATGAGTCAACAGCTATTTTTGAGTTGCAGAAAGCCTGCTCGCCAAGAGCGTTTGGATGAGTCAAGGGCGACCTCTAGTGGACAGATGTGTTTATGTAACGGTTCATACATCTTCCGAGTTTATCTTTTGGAAAAATAAAAACATTGAACTTGAAGTAGAATTGGAGCGACACTGCGATTTTTCTAAATGTAATCTTCAATGTCCACAACGTGGCGACTTGCTACACCGGCAAAACTTTCAAACAAGCAACGAACAGGCTTTCAGCAATCAAAAAAAAAAAACATCTTGCTTAGAGAGCACTATTTAAAAAACAATATTCGAGAGTTCTACATGCAAGTGTACGTTCGGACCAAAGATACTGTGAAAATACTCCTCACGTGTTCAGCCAGTAATTCTTTCTTCTGGGAAAAAAAGAACTTACAAAATCAAAAACGGAAACATTTAACTTGTCAAAGACACTAACAACTCACTACTCGGTTGTTTTCAGAACAGGGACAAAACCAAAACAGGAGCTCATTTCAGACGGTGATACAGCCTGAGGCTTGAAGAGCGATGTGGGCAGGAGCTCAGGTGTCCCACAGCATTTTTTTGGCAGATATTTTAACCCCCAAATGGCCGGAGGTTCAGCGGGCACCGTGTACCAACGTGCCCGGGAACAGAGCGGCTCTTCAGGCTTCGACTGAGCGGGAGGAGTAAAGGACTGGATTCCCCCGACGAAGAGCTTCTCCCGGCGCTCTCTCTCTCCCCGCGAGCGGGACGGTCCCGCGTGGACTCACCGGGTCGGTGTCCACCAGGAAGGCGGCCAGGTCCACCAGGACCCAGGTGGGCAGCATGAAGAAGACGGCGTTGAAGCCCAAGACGTTGAGGAGTCTCAGGTGGTGGATCCGGGTGTCTCGCAGCACCTGGGGGTGGGGGCAGGGAGCGTCGCTGCAGGCAATGCAACTATACAAGCGGCTACTTCCAGTCCATTGAAGCCCTCGAATCCCCATCAGCCTCAACCCCAGTCCCCACGACTAATCACACCTGTGCACCAGGCCGACGTGCAAAGCGCTTTGGGGAAGCAGTCTGTTGTACTGTGTTTGTCCCGAGAGATCAGCGCGATTAAGAATTTCAATGTACATGTACATGTGGCAATGGACCCTCTACTCTCTACTCTGTACAGGTACCCAGGTACTCCTGATGCCAGGAGCAATACCACCTGCACAGATGGGGGCATCTTATAAAATAGTGTTGGGAAGGAACAGAAAGATTTGGCAGAAAGTCTCCAGAGAAGCCAACCAGATTGGTGGCTTCCTGCAAGTCAGGCAAAAGGCAACTCAGGGCACTCAGGTGGCATAGTGCATTTCCATATCATAGCCTTCTCCACCCGGTCGCAATGCGATCACAAAGCACTCTTCGCACCTTGGCCGCTGGAGTCGCAGTGAGTACGCCCCCCCTGGCAGTTCAGGAGCTTGGGGAATAGGGCCTCAGTTACACAAGCCAAGTCCAGGCGCGGCTCAGCTGGACCAGCTGGCCGAGCTGCAGTACAAGGTGGCAAACCGGCCTCCCCCTGCAGTGTGCAGGGCCAGCTCACCGAGGACAGAGCAGCACTGCATCACGGGGACCATCGGGACCATCGGGGGCAGGACGGGAGACAGGGGGAAAACGTCTGGCAGTGGGTTTCGAACCGAGGAGGTGTGCTGTTACACAAAGGAATGTGGGGGACTGGAGCAAGCAGCTCAGCTGTGTGGCTGAAGCCCGTTTTTAGGTTCTTTTAAGACATGACTAAATGAGATCAATCCGCGATTAGCAACCAAATGAATTGTGTAAATAAGTGTTTGTGCGAGAAACCATATTAACACAAAGTACTGCCTTCATCGGTTTTAATCAGTGCTTATGGTGAGTTTTGACACTAGAGGGCAGGCTTAGCCAGGAATTGGCCTCAAAATCATATGATCCAACAAGCCCTTTTGTCAACACGCAACATAATACTTACGCCTTCCCTTTCACCTCTGAGCGAAAATTAAAATAAAATCACTCTAAATGCTAATCAACAGCTGCACACAATGGTGCACTGGTTGCACAACGGTCAGTTACCCTAGCAACAGATACTGGTAATATACAACCCGAGCTCTGTAGTAAAGCAGTAATTTGAACAGAAGGAAAGTCTCTACCCGATTTCTCCTATAACCCCCTCAAGAGGCAGCTGACCAGACGTTCTTCCCATCATTGCAATTTTAAAGAGGCTTATGTCCTGGTCACTATTATAATAATAATTTAATAATTCGTCCACTATGGTGCCGTCTTGTGTTTTTCCAGTGTCTAGAAAGATCCCTCCAAGAGGAAAGCGGGGAATTCTGTTAGTGTGGCAGCGAACAGGTGCGAGGCTCGTTCGTCTGCCTCCACCCTCTTTCTGTCCCGGCCACCCGCTTTCCAACATCACAGCTCTTCCCCCAGCTCACCGCGCGGACATACCTTCTTGGAGAAGATGTTCTGGAGAGAAAAGCACAGAGTGGCGGCCAAGGCACTGATCAGCCCTGACAGGTCGAAGGACAGCTCGGTCACCGTGGCCAGCAGCACACCTCCTATTATGGGCACCAAAGACAGGTACACCTGAGGAAAGACCACCACAGAGACTCAAACGAGGACTCTTCCAATGAGGCCACGCCGACGAGACTTCGGGGAGCACAGAACTTAAAAACACATTAACCACCACATTAGGTTTCTACTTCTTTTGTTCTCTATGAGTCACTGCAGCTGATGGGCAGCTTTGTAGAAACGCAGTCCAACCTGGCAACAGAGGAATGGAATTGAAATATTATGAAAGGTGCACGCTTATCACAAAGGAAGTTGCCGTAATTTCCTCAATCAAAGAAAGACGCAAGTCAGACTGGATTCCTGGAGATACTGCAGGCCCTTTGATCTTTTTTCATGCATCCAATTGGTTTAATCATCTTCATTGCCTGGAAAGAACAAACACTTCTCTCCAGGTTTGAAAACCTCACTGTTTCACTTTTCGAGCAAAAAAAGGAGAAGTATTCCATTTGTTTCCAAAATCAGTAAAGCTAATTCTCTCAAATATATACCCATACAATGCATGAATGTCCTTGGCTGGTTTTACAGAGTGCCAGTTCAACAGGTTTTATTGAGTAACCATCAAACCACACATCTTAAAGGCCACTGAACACTTTTCTTATCAGCAATTAAGCAGGCAATGTGTTACATGAACAGATTTAGAGATGATCTGGAATAAAAAATCTAAAAACCCTTCAGCCCACAAGAATCTGAGCTGCACAATTAAAGAAATTAAAGGTCTGCACGGTCATCAAACTCAAAACATACGACTATACTGGGGTACCCATCCCCTGGGCTTCACCTCCCGAAAAACAGAGTGACCAAGTATACTAACACCAACATAGCTAAATTAAATGTCTATTAAACTTCCAGGTTGAGAGAGAATATTTTTTCCAATAACGTGAGGCAAGGTATGGGGGGGTCTCATCAGAGTCTCAAGCACTCACACGCACACGGCTTGCTCAAACAAGCACGCACACGCACACGCATGCACGCACACTCACACGGCTTGCTCACCTTCGTCGTCTGTTTCTCCTTCATGATGAGACGGGACAAGAGAACAACCCAGATCGGCATGGTGGCCTTGACTGCAGGGACAGAGGGAGAAAACAGACGTCTGGCTCACTGGGAAGGAGGCCACAGTTTTCTTTCTTCCTGGGCTCAAGGAGCAAGACAGACAAATGAAACCCAACACTTCTTCTGTACAAGCTGCAGCTGAGGCTTGTGGTGCAGGTTTCGTGAGCCAGAGGCTTACCCATTCAGCTGGAAGAGCTCAAAACAAGAGTGCAAGAGTGCTGCTGCAGAAGTAATTAGTGCTAAAGGGGAAGGAAGAGAGGGAAAGGGAGCAAACAAGGTCAAGTCGAGCCTTGAGGCTCACCAGTCTGTAGCTGATCCTGGCTTCAGGAGCACAGTAAGCACATTCAGAGTACCTGACTACCCCTATGGAGCAGATGCCAGCCCATCACAATGGACAATGCCTATAACTAGTTCCTAGATTATAGCTGGGGAAGCTAGTTTACAAAAGCAAAACATTTCTTTCCACAAAGGCTCAATGCGTGCGAACCATGATAAAAAAATCCAACACAAATGAAAATTTTGTTCCTGTCTCTCCCAGACTCATTTTAAAACAGTGAAGCGAGTTTCACACTAACGCAACAGGGAAGAAGATAAGGTTGTCAGTAACGGACACAGGGTGAGGCAAGATCGGTTGAGAAATAAAAGATTTTAAAAATGGATGCGTTTTGGGTGTCATAACTGAGAAGAAGACATGACCATCACTCGAAACCAGGGGCTGTCAACATCACTCCTCTAGAACTGAGAAAGTCTTCCAGGTTTTCTTCACTGAACTATTTTATGAATGATCTGCAGCTCCCTCAAGAACTCTAGTTATGGAGTAGAAAAGCCCAACCCTGCTTTAAAAGTGTTGTACAGTAATCTAGTCAACAGGAAGAAGCCATTTCCTGAACAGTGCATTGATCCCCTCATTGTCATTTCTAACCTGGCCTGTTTCATCACTAGCATTTCCTGTCCATCCCAGGAACAATCAACCAATCAAGGTTTATTTATCAATGCATGAACAGTACAGCATACAGCAGTGTCGTCGGCAATGAAAATGCTTTATCCACGAACAACCCTGCACCCCAAAACCACGCAAAAGCAACATGTGAGATACTGACAAAAAACTGAAAAACAAAGAGGTGAGGTGATTCATTAACAATATGGACACTTTGACAGAATGGAGTAGTAATGTCAAGATCTGAACCTAAAAAGGGGGAAAAAGCAGACTCTTGACAGAAGGCAAGAGTTTGGCCCTTAAAGACAGTAACCCAGCCAGCTCTGAGGGTCTTTTAAAACCAACAGCACAAGACCTCAAAAAGAGGGAAAAATAACTCCATTAAAACTTAACCGGATCAATCAGTTTAACCCTCCCCCATGGGCCATGTGATATAAGGAACAGATGATTTAAGCAGAAGTTCAAACAGCACCTCCAGGATGTTGCTCTGGGGAGCAGGCCTGTCTAGCCAGCCACTGTAGACCACACTCCTTTAATTTATCCCCCCCTCCTCCCCCCATAACCTTACTGCCCGTCGCAAACAATGAAGATCTTGTTTTCTTTCCCTATTCAAACGAGCAGACACGGCCCTTTGATTAAGCGAGTCCGCGAACTGTAAAACAGACACTGGCCTACAAGCAGGGGACAGGAATGACCTGCTAGGAGGCTGCACTGTGCAGGCTTTCGGCAAAACAGCCAGTTAGAAACCTCCGCCTCCAGACACGCAGGGTCCTTTTCTTACTATTTCTATACCGATTTGTTCTACGAACAATAAAAAAAAGGGTTTAAAAGCGTTTCAGCCCAAGTAGAGAGCTCTTTCCCGCCTATGTAGATCTGTTTTTCCTTTCACGGATACGGCTCCGAGCCAACCAGCTTGACTTCCAGGTGACGTGTGATGCCGTCGGGGAAGTGCGCGGCGCAGGTAGGTCCCAGACAGACAGCGACCGTCTCTGGGGATCGGCGTCTGAGCTCAGGTACGAGCAGAGACCCCAGGAAGAAGAAGGAAACAGCCCAGTTCCCGATCCCCGTCGGGAAAGCGAGCAGAAATCACACGGACTGGACCGCGCAGCAGTCATTCAGGTTACCCGCTGGCCTTCTACATTTCGCTGTGACAACTCATCGTCTAGGACGGTCTTGTGGCACTCAACCTCATTGCACGCTGACTAAATAAAAGAGGGAACTGGTCGCAGGACGGTCCCTCGAAGGGACTTAAAGAGGACAGACCAAATATAGCCTGGCCCGAACAATTCCCCCTCAATATGACGTTACGCGATTCCCATGGTAGTGGGACTAAGAATACCCCTGTTGCTCCCGCTGGCTCCTGCAGAAACTCCCCCTCAGCACAACAGTAATATATAGCACGCCAGTATACTGCAGATAGCCAGATCTACATGCATGCCGTCTCGAAGAGAGGGTTACCTGTATGCGCGTAGGAGACTGGTACCTTCCAGATGCTGAAGTGCGCCGACACCGAGGCGAAGTACTTCCCGAAGGCTAGGGGCAAGATGAACCACCGGTAGTATCTGCCAGGCAGCTCGGTTTGAGGTACCCCCCATGCACGCAGCAGAGGAGGGAGGAAGAAGACGATAGATAAAATGTGGAACAGGGAGACGGTAACCGGGTAGGGGAATCCATTTAAAATGATTTTGTTGATGACGTTTCCCCCGGAGCTGACAGCATACCAGCACACACAAAGCAGCGCGATCCGCACTCCCTCCTTCACTTGCGGACGGACCACCGCAGCCATCTTCCAGCTCAGAGTCACCTCACCGGGCGCAGAGAGACGTGGAACGGGGCTACGTAATACAGCCGGCAGATAGACGGCTTGCATCAGACGTCACTTCCTGCATTTAAAGCCCCGGTGGTGCCTCAGGAAATGTGTGCCGTCTTTCCTCCTAGGTGCTGACAAAGTCGACCCAGTGAGCGGTGCCCCGGGGGAAACTACGGGGACGTGTATTAAACTGAGATTGAGGATGCACTCGATAGTTGTTTCAAAAGAAGGTTGTTTCATAGTGCAAGTATTCAGTCTATAAATGCTCATAAGCACGGTTTCCGAGCAGGATCAGAAACGTGCCCTTAAAGATTGTTCATCGCCCAGCTGGTATTTTTCACCTGCAGTGGAAAATGAAAGGCCCTTTGTTTCTACGAAGTCGACTTCTGACTGCTTACCACATTATAACCACAAAGTGGACGCGCACGGCACCATTCAGCTCCAGAATTTAGTTAGAAAAGGATCAGATATGAGCTTTTGATTTACTGATTAATGAGGGGCGCATCTTCAGTTCTTTGTAAACCCAAACGGAATTCAGTGCCGGCAAATTAATGTTTACTAAATGCCGCGGTATCACAAAACTGTGCTCAATAAAATGTCATAGATAATACGTTTTTTTCCATTTTTTCCCTAGACGATTAGAACTTGTAAAAATTGTGTCGACGAAACACCTGAGTTAGGTGTATGCATTGTGGCGTCAGCACTACGGCTCACTGCGCAATTTAAGTTCCTATGCACAATACAGAAGTTTCCAGTTCCTACGTCCACACCCTGAGGGAATTAGGACTGTGCTCGACAGTCGGTAAGATGATCTTTCATGCTGCAGGGCTTTGTTTGAGAAATGTATCGCTTCCTGAATCCCTAACACACAAGATGATGTGGAAGAATTGATCAGATACTGTATCGCTGTGTGCAAGATGACAAGCTCTTAGTTTTATATCAAGTCTTCAGATAAATCTTGCATCTTGAGCCCCTATACGTTTTCAAATACCATTGGTTCTGTAGTGTTGAAAATGGTGTCACATTATTCCATAGATGTTTCGTTATCCAGCCGGTCTTTTATTTTCCCGCTGAGCCTGGTTTCCAGCTGCTATTGTGCTGCATTGCTCAGTAATTGGTTTTTCCATAAGTCCACTGGTGCTCAAATGTTTCCAGTAATAATGTGAGGTCAGACCGTGGCGGTACACCCACAGTAACTCCCTGGCAATCCTTTCCACAAATTGCCTGTTGTGTATTGTACATGAGCATACCGGCTAACGTCTCCGAACACTTTCTTTTTAATTGAGAGCTTACTGCACTGGTAAGGACCGGTTGGCGAGGAGCAGAGAAACCTCCACCTGTTCCTGCTTTGGAGCTAATATCCTTTAACGATCACGTTCACGGTCCTGTGCATACTGGCTTTAAATCTACTGCACAGAGAAGTTGAACTGGGGCCGCATGTGGGCACCGGGGTCAGTCAGAATTGCTGCCTCGAAGCTCTGGGGGTCCCGAGTCCAAAAAAACGTTGAACTCGCTTTGGTCTCCGATATTCACAGTACAATTAATTAGATGATATTCGTTATCTCTGCAAGCTTGCTCGGAAAACGGTTTCTAGTACTTACACTACAAATAGAGAATAGAAAAGCTAGCTTCTATGAAATAATTCATAGTTATATTTATTTTTGCAATGTTTCCAGTCAGCAAAGCTGTTATGTGGTGCCGGCACATCCTCAAAAGAGCCCCTAGATGGCAGCATCTGCACTAGCGGCTTAGACAAGCTCGAACGTGCTTGTGTAAGCAGATCTAGAAGCACAAACTCGTGAACAGTAACAAGAGGAGTGCCCCACAGGTCTATAGCAGAGATGGATCTCTGAGCATCATAAGCATCGCTGTGCATCCTTATCCTACCAGCCTTGCCTCGGTTGCTCCTGACTTACTCACTTCAGCGTTTGTGCCTCAGGAACCAAGCCCTCAGCTGGTGTGCTTTTCACCCCCATGAATCAAACACAGTGATGAGAGCGGAGCTTCTCTGCCCATGGCCTAGACCCTTCCCTGGCTCTGTTACTTCCACCCTGCTGATCAAATCAGACACTACTGCCTCCCTTCCTGCCTGGATGCCCGTTGGGTTTTCCCAGCTGTGATCCCAGGTCCCATGTTTGGCAAGCAATCAGGAAGTCCCTCAGCAAGTTTAATCGGCAGTGTGAAAAGTCAACAGGTTTTGCCCAGCCTCTAATCCTGGCTTCTAGCCAGAGTCTCCAGCAGGGATCTGGGAGAGCCACACTCCAGCTGGATTTAGGACTGTTTCAACAGGCAATAACCAGAGACCTGGAAAACATGTTACAACTGAAATAAGCAAATAATTTGTCCAAGAACACCATTCTGAAGTCAACAGCAATTAAACCCCTCCACACTCTGCATGGGACCAGGTTGAATACTGCTGATTTACAGCTCATTAAAGAATCCATGTAGCTGTTAATCTACTACATTTATGGTCACTCTTCCAATATGGAATGTACTGTGGACCAGGTGTTTCCTTCAAGTTATTTAATTCAACAAATATATCTCACATAGGGATGCAGGCAAGCCCTGCTCCTCCAGTCCTCTGTACTCGTAGTGCAGTCAACTTCAGGGGGCTGTGTGATTCCATGGTCACTCGACAGCAGCACAAATTCCCCTGCTTGTTAAATGGGACAGTGGTAGACAGATCTTCGAAAGTTGCATTTCTCCCTTCTTGTAAAATAACATTTTTAGCTCCTCTAATTCAAAATTATTTAATCTGAAGAAGGCAGTGTATTACAGCAACGCACTGGTTAACTGGTACAGTGTATGTCCTACCAGACGTCACACAACTGAAATGCTACTGTAGATCTTTCCCATCACCCCGGTTTTCAGGAAAACAGATCCACATTAACCCTAACAGTTCAAGTAGCTGTGTTGAAGTTAGTATTGCAAGATGGGTATTACAATCAGATAAGTTTCCCCACAATTTGTATATAGTTTTCAAATCGTATAACATTGTAGCACTTCTCAAGATGTGTATTATATACACCTGTAATTTTCTAGTTGGCCAGTTTTGTGATCACGTTCAGTGATTTCAAGAGGCGTTTTGGTACTAGAGATGGGATTGTGCTAATGATAATATGCACAGCGTACAGCTGTATTTTACACATTTACAGTAATTAATTTCCATGTAGTAACTTCTATGTAAACTATTAAAAGTCTAGGTCACCGGGGTACTGAATCCAATGGAAAGGATTAAATTCAGAAGGATCTCATGAGAACATCCGCTGGGAAAACAAATCATGGTTTCACCACACTGAACTTCCCTAAAGCATTTAATCTCTGCTTGGGCCTCAAGGGATGAAAAGCACATTTAGAAGGACTGGGTTTCAGGGCACATTTGAAGTGAAACAACCTAAGTAACCAAATATACTGTAAGAAATACTCCATTACACCCAAGGTCCTTCTCACACCAACTCCTTCACTGGTTCACCCCAATCCCAGGCAGTTCCAAAGCCACCAACATCACCTCATCAGCACCGACATGTAACAAGAGTCGGCAAGACAAAATATGTCAAGTGACGCTTCGTAAACTAAAATCGATTGTGCATGTACTGGAGGTGCCTCACCCCCATGAAATTAGTTACTATAGAAATTACCCATCACCTTCGTGAATGGACTGTCCAAGACTTGCTTACTTTTTGCCTTCCAGGACCTCCAGGCCCTCCATCCTCATCCATTGTAGCACGGGAATCTCCATTTCCTCCAGCACAAGCAGAAGCAACAGAATTTCACATGACGTGACCATGCTTTCACAGTTAGCAGCCCTCCTGAAATTTTTTAAGCATGGGGACCACCATCTGTTGCTCTAGAGAGTGCCAAGAAGGGCTGAGGAACCATGGAGGAGATCGCCACACACACGCGCCGCCGTCGTAAGGTGAAATAAGAAGGGGAATGTTTTTTCAGCAACATTTTTATACAAATACACTTCAATCCATACATTTATTAAAATACTCATTTGTGCATTTTTTTGTGTTTTATTTCCACATTTATATGACAACGTGTCCACTGAAAAGGACCAAATAGCAAAGTTGCTCACTTCTGCATCCACCTGAAACAGAAGTCTAAGTTCTGTACATTCACTAAGGCTCTGATTTTTGCAAAAAAATGTGTTATGATTTTTTTCCATAAGGCAAACGATATCTAAAGGAATGTATAAAGGAACAAGTATAGTTCCAGCATACAAACTGATCTTTTTTTCTTATTTTGTCCTCACAGTACAAAGTTGCCATCTAGAAACACCCTCTGTTTCGCCATTTTTTCTTCTTTTGGAAGAGGGAGTAGGAGAGGGACAAAGGAACAGCTTCACATCTATCAAACAGGGGGGGGAAGGAAATGCAAAGCAAAAACGCATGGCTCATAGAAACTGGGGGAAAAAATACACCCTTCAGTTTTGTTTTCCTTTTTTAATACAATTTAAAAATAGATTCATTTGTTTTTTTGCAGACTGTCACTTTTCTGTACGAAAGAAGAATCCAGTATGAAAGGGGACAGGAATGAAGGACTGAGGGAGAGGAAGGGGTATGGAATGTTAGAAGCTACCGGTTTGGCCAGCCTTCTCTTATGAGGGGGGAACAAAAGAAATGTGCAAAAACATGGGCATGCCCAATTTCTTCCCCATTGGTATTGCAGAACATATCAAACAGAGGATGCATGATGCAAACAGAACAGCTCTACAGGGTTTTTTTTTTTTGCACATTTTGTTTTTAAGAGATTCCTTCACTGCCAAATGAAAAAAAAAAACAAAACAAAAAAGGTCAAATAAATAGATGCATATGTGATAAGGAAACTTTATTCATTTCTTTTGATGCCACATAAAGCCTCTTTTACCTGCCAACACAATGAGCTCCAGACTGCTGAGCTGCTGGAATGGTCATCCCTGGTTTGTGGCAGACTTTGCTTTCTTTCGCTCTCCCCTGCTCCCCCAGAGCCTCGCCGGAGCCGAACTGGATCGCCCCCAATGTGAACCCCAATTTGCAATTTGTTATAGTTGGTAGCAGCATACTGCAAACAGGGCGCGGCTCTGTCTCCGAGCGGAAGAACTGCGCAGGCCAGCCCCTCGCTTCCCCTTGAAGGCAGCCTCATCTCGTTTCTTTTAAGTGGCAGGCAAGAAGGGGGAGGGAGTACAGCAGTTCTGCCTTCCCCACTTTCTACAGCGGGCGTGCACTCCTCCATTCCTGAAGCATTAAAACCACACGCTCAGTCTAGGCAGACGTAGGGCAAGATGTGTAGTTTGCTCTCATCCCCGTGAGGGTCCAAGGATATGCACTGCGTCCAATCGTACCAGTTGTCCTTCGTGTCGAAGCAGCCGTTCACCCCCGGCCAGCGCTCCTGGTGTATCCTGTGGAGATCCTCCGTGGTCACGTCCCGGCTCACCCCCGGCAGGTCCGTTTCGGAGCTGTCCGGTACGAGAACGTGAGTCTTCCGGGACTCTTTGATATCGTGTTCCTCCTGTTTCAAATACTCCGTCATAAAGAAATGGGCCCCAGGGGTCTGAGCCCCCGAGGACGTGAGCAAACTGCTCTGCCTGCTCAGGTAGGACTGGATGATTTCGTTCCTGGATAGCTCCTTCCAGTTGGTCTGCTGGAAGGGACTGGGCAGGGGCGCGCCAGGCTTCTGCTTGAGCACATCCGTCCTGTGCGCCTCGGGTAGGGGCAGCCCCACTGGCTCTTCCCCCTGGTAAGATTCTTTGTGTGTCAAAGGTTTGATCTGCCCAGTCACGGGGTCAAACGTGAGCTTGCGCTCTTTTAACCTCACCGGCTTTGTGCTCTCCTCCATGGCCGGCTGCCCGTCCAGGTTGACCGTGTAGTCTCTGGGCCTGTACTTCTTCTTCCGTTTGCTCTCGGAGCTCGAGGCCGCCCCGTCGCTGTCCAGCTTCGCGGCCTCCGAGGGGAGGCCCAGCCCGTGCGGCACCGTGCATTCCGAGTGGTGCAAGGCGGTTCTGGAACCGTGCGGAGAGCTGTGCGGCGGCAGTTCGAGCGTCCCCGTGCTGTGCTGGAGCCGCAGGTCGGCGTCGGCCGGACCGTGCCAGTGCCTGGAGCTCTCGGGTCCCGGGGGCTGGGGCCCATCGGTATGCGATACTTGGACAGGGGGAGTTAAAGGCTGGGGCAAAGGCAAGGGAGACTGCACCCGAGCAGCAACATCCAGAAACCTGGAACTCTGAGACGGGCTCGACAGAGTCCCTTTTGGTGCATATGTGGTTGGCCGCTTGGCCATTGTCTCCTCCTTAATACTTCTTGGGCTGAAAGAGGCGCAGCGGGGGCTTCTGGGCTGGGGCTGCCCACTTCCTCCTCCTCCTCCTCCTCCCGATACTTCATCCATTTTTGCATGCTGTTGCATCACAGCAGTTTTGAGTAAGGAGGAAGTGCTGGGAGGTTTGGCAAGTCCAGGAGAACTGGTGTGAGGTCTGACGGCGTTCACCGGAATCTTGTTGTGTTTGTCGTTCTCCAGATGTTCCGTTCTGCTCCTGTCGGGACCTGGGAGCCCGCTGGGATCCAGAGGGCTAGGGAAAGGCTCCGGACTGCCCCCGATCCCATTCGTAGGGGGCGGGGTGGAGTTCTGTAGCCGGTCATTTGCAGCCTTTGAAATTTTTGCTGACAAATGACCGTCTCTTTGCTCTCCCTTGCGCTTGCGATTGCTGGATTTCTCCAGCTTGGGAGAGTAAGAGTTGTGAATGTCATTCCTGCTTTTCAGTTCTTGCACTGGTTTGCCCACAGGGCTCACCGCAGGAGGGGCGATCTCCGGCCGGCAGGGGTGAGAGCCGCCATTGGCCGAGCCAGGTGTGCCCGGCCCCCCTCTCGGCAAAGTTTCATTTTGGCCGGGCTCAATTAGCTTCTGCCAGTTCCTCAGGAGCTTCTTGGCACGCTTGGCGAGATCTTCATCCTTCGTCTTCTTCCTCACGTCGTTGATTAACTTCCCTAGCCGAGTTTCCTGCATTAAAAAAGGTATATTATACATTTTCTGCCTTAAAAATCAGGCATATTCTATCTATGCTCCAAAACGGTGGTTCTCAGTCCTGGTCCTGGAGTACTTCTGTCCCTCAATCACCAGTGCTGTGAGGTACAGTAGCTCTAAGCTACCCGTTTGATTGTTTTGGTTTTTAACAACACTCAACGTGCTTTATTTCTAACAATATTGGTACATACAACTTCATGCAGTCTGAATTTGCCAGTTCAGAATTTCCTTGCTTATTTCAGCATTTACAAGGTGATCAATTGATAATGAGCAGACACAGGTGATAATGATACTGACGGCTCCTAAAGCGCGTCAGTGTTTTTCCTTATGTTTTTATTCCAATTGGTCCAGTTTCTTGGTAGTACACCTCAATAAAAGCAGTCCTGAAGCTTGCAAATTAGCTGAGCATTCTCACCAATTGCAAACCTCTCAGCATTTTAAAGAGCAGAAAAATAATTTAAAAAAAACGCCCAAATTAAAATAGCCTGCGCTTTCAAACCAGAAGAGAGAGGGGTTACCCAGGATTGAGAACTCTTCCCCTGACAATTGATGTTCATTAGTTACAAAGCAACATCACATTTCCATGCAAAATACAAGATGTACAATCCTTAGCACATTCCAATACAGAATACTTTCAAAGAGAAATAGAACTTAATGTCTCACACTAGAATGGTGAATAATGCATTTTTTTGGTGGTGAAACTTTTAGTAACACTAAATCTATTATAGTCGCGTTTTAAAGACATTCACAAACTGTTCAACTTTGTAAGAGGCTGAATGGTCCAAGAAGGCAGTTTTATTGAGAGTCTAAGGGGTCTCAACAAGTTAAGGCGCAGTCTGAGGTTCGTCATGCAAGGTGCATGTGGAATCTCACCTCGAGTGCTTCTTTGGTGATGGGATATTTCTCCAGACTGGAGATCACTTCCAATACGGCCACCATGTTGCGGATCTGTGGGGAGTTAAACAAAACCTCACATTAATGAGAACTCTAAGATCTAGGGCAAATAAATGAATCTTGTATACTGAGAAAACTATGTTGGGAAAGAAGGGAAAACCTGTATAGTACATTCAAAGGCCAAATTAAAAACAGCACTGAGTTTCATGCATTACTCCGACCTGCTAGGTACAAGGTGAAGGATTAGATCTAGATTGCACCCCATGGCAGAGAATTTATAGGCACCTGGTTTGAAGTATTATAGGCATGTTAAAATTTACTTTCACCAGAGTTTTTTGTGTCTACTGAAGTGGTTTACATGTCCCAACAAGTTCAATCTGTGCGGGGATAACCAGTTTATTAAACAAGTAAATAGTATCATACAGGAGTCAAATTACTCAGATATCACAAGTGGTTATTTATATAATGACCCTCAGCCTGAGTGCAGATTGAGATCCAGCGGGCAAATTCGGGATTCGCCATCTCCCAAGTCTCAGTCCTTCCAGCGTGTTAAAACACAGGTCCCACATTTGGACAACAGCGACTCCCAGTTGTGACCCCCATGCAGCTTCTGAGAGAGCTGTCCACATTCATCCTAAATGTTTTGAAAAGGGTATAGTAAGTTCCCCAAAAATTCAGATTTAAGTTCACTCCATTTGCAATTGAATGGCTGTGATAGTGCAAGTCATTATAATTAATGTTATCGCAAATTAATGCATTACTTCTGTGTGTATAGAACATTTGATGTAAGGAATCCAATAACATGGATATATATATACCTTCAGTTATTCATGAATTGAATGGATTTTTACCTGCTGCCTCAACAGTTGTGCAATACAGTAACAGATACAAACACCACCTGGTACTGTACAGGAGTATACACTGTAATAGTTACACTGTGGCCTCCATGAAAATATCCCACACATGTACCTCCGTCCACCCCAAAACCTCACTCAAGATGAGATGAAAGAGGTTGAGGAAGAAAACAACCCAAAACCCCACAGGTGAGAAGTCCCTCCATGCACACACTCCAGCTGTGTGAGCTCAAGAACCCACTATACTTTTGAGCACATTACTGTTGGGCGATCATAATGCTGTTTTTGATCAATAACTGTTAAGGGTGAATGTATTTTTATGTTGTATGTGTTTGGACAATTACCATAGGGCCATTCTTTTACAGTGCTAAATCACTATACTGTACTCCATAGTCAATTTATCTGACAGTTATTCAGTTCTTTAGTGAATGATAACAAACTGACGTTTGATTTGTAAAAGTTCCACACCACATAGTGAACATGCGGCAGGAGCTATATCCCACTAATTCCTCCAACGCCAATATCTACAGTAAAATTGACTTCTGATAGTAACAATACAGTCAGCCAACGATCGATTTATGGCAGAGAACAAGCACACCAGCACCACAACCTGAGCAACATCTTTGAAAAGATGGATCATTCTGCAAAAGTGGACATTTAGCATTAAGAGACCATCTGTAATGACAAGAGTGACCTTTTTGCAAACAAAATTAAGATTCAAAAGGTAGGGGCTTAATTCTTAAGATGTGAAATCTGCATTTATCAGGAATGGATTAGATTAATTCCATCAACCTCGTCACCGAAGCCAAGTCCATCACTCAGCCACAGCATGTGGCACATCAGGTAGCCCAAGCTACATAAAAGTTCACCTGACAACATTTTCACTTTTGCCTTTCTTGTTCTAAAGACAGATTTGTACAAGGGGGGCATTAGACCTAAATACAGAAAAGGATTACAGCATTGTGATTTTGTACTTGCAGTATTCCAGTATCAGTTAATGTTAATCCTATAGCAGTGCGAGTCACTTTCATAGTCATCTCTAAAAGGGACTCTGTACAATTAAGAATTGGTGGTTTGATTACAAAGACTCTGCAGCACTAGCAATTAAAAGTGGTTATTTAGGAATGATGTGCTCCATTTGTTCCTGCTGATATGATTGCAATGTTCCAACATTCAGAAAGAGTGCCAACTCCCAAAAATCTCAATGCCAAACTCTCAAAAAAAGAAACCTGGAACACTACCGACTCCTACTTATCAAGAAAGCAAAACATTAAAAAAAAGCAAGATATCTAATGTTTATCCCCGTCTGAACTTTTGCTGTTGCCTTCAGGTTTCATTGTGTCACAACTGTTTTCCTCAGATTTTCTGTTTTTTCTTTACGATTTAAAGTCAGACAATGTTCTGTTTGCCCTTTTTATTACTTCCTCACATTGTCTGGAAAGTGTAATTGATATGCCAATATAAGCAGCTATGCTGTATTCATAGACATTAAAACTAATTTTTCCCCACCTTATATGTATAACTTACGTTCTTGCCACATTTTGCAACTATACCAGAATCTAAATCACTGATATAAACTAGGACGAGCAGCAGTTACAACACAGATCCACTAATTACATCAAGCTGATTTGAGTATTCACCACTAATGTGAGGATCAGGTTTCCCAGGAGCCTCCACACCAACAATCTTGTAAACACCTTGCACATTACCAGCAAGTACAGGTGTTAACCTTTCTTCAGGAATGGTTAGATGCCCATTAGCAAAAATCGGAATCAACTGGTGTTGCTGTTCAGAGTAGAGGAACAAAAAGATCAATTAGAAGTCTCTGAACTAGTTGGCCCATAAAGCTCTAGAAGAAAAGGCCAATCCAAAGAATTCCAGGAGCGATCATCATGCAAATAAACCATTACCTATGAAACATCTTTTCTGCAAAAAAAAAAAGCAATAAATCTTATTCGGTCTTTAAAATCTGACTTCTGCCTTCTCACGATCTGCATAAAGTAGGGATAAACATGTGCCATAAAGGTGAAATTAGTGGGTTTGTATGGAGCAGTGTTTGAACCACTGGCACCCAAATACATTTTTAAGAGAATGCTTCCTGTCCTTAACTCTTTAGCTACTTGGACTCAGGATTTATGTGCATGCCTATAATAGCATCTTACCACACAAGACATTAATTTGAATCATGTAAAACACTCTATATAAGACGCGACACAGAAGCTATAAAAAAACACTATGAGGCACTGCTTTTAAAATATAAAACTGAAACCAAGTTTGCATGGGCTTTCAGGACCACAGGTGTGCGACAGCAAAGTTCTACCGCCTCGAAACCTCACTGCGCAGAAACGGTTCAGCCAGTTTCAGTCTCTAGATCCAGGCACACCAAGATGAAAATAGCAATTGCTTCTGAAAAACACGCAGTCACAAAATGACTCGGGTTTCTTTGAGGCAGTGAAAATACATAGCCTGAAACAATAGACAGCGCGATTTGTAAAGAAACCAAGACAGCTAGTAAGTTTTTTTAGAATGTATAAAAGGCAACAGATCAAAGATATCACTAGTTTAATAATCAGATTTTCAAATCTACTGAAATATTTTTCCAAATTGAATCATATTTTGTATTCACACATATACATGCTTCTGGAAACTCTCAAAGAAAATCTTCAAAAGGAAAAAAAAATAAAATAAAAAAACATCTAACAAGAGAGAACATTTAGATTCAATATGTAAATAGATCCACTGCACACTCCTGTCTTTAATATATGTGATACAAATTATCAACAGCTGTGTTGGGAGATAAGGCTCACTGGGATAGTCGTTCTAGTGTCTTCTACAGTCCTTCAAGCATACAAAGAGTTGCAATGCTAGAGAAAGCTACAGGTGCCTAAAAATAGCCAAACCATTCTCCACTACACCTCACACCTGTTTCCAGATCCCTGATGATACATGACAGACAGCACAAATCGCTGCTTTTCCCATTACAGCAACCAACTCACAGTGGTCTCCAACCCAGGACCTGAAGAACCCAGATGGGCTTCAGTCACTCAGTAAGGATCATATTAGCCTTGACTAAGCAATATCCAAGAACTAATCCAGGGCTTGAACCTCTGGTTTATTACATGTGAATGTGGCTATTTGTGACAGTTTTCTGCACCAAACCTTGTGAATAGAGGCCGTGCTGTACTGTCGCTAAAAAAAAATGGTACAAAATTACATAAGAAAACATGTTTGCAGAAGAACTGCTGCCACTGGAATGCTTCTGTTCACTCCTAAATACTACACCAGTTCTAGTGCAGCACAATTGAACTATTTTTCACCAAGAGAAATTGACTCAAAGCAAAACGACCTACAGAAGAACTGCAAACAATATAAGAAGGTTTGATTTTAACAAGTCAGTAATCCGGAACTGCTGATGCTAATAAAACTCCAACAGGTGTAAGCTACAAGTGTTCTCACCTCTACGGTCTGCATTATCACAGCATCAAAAAGCAGACCATCAGGTTCAGAAACGTTTTTATCCCCATTTGTTGCAGGTCAATCAAACAACAAATAGCTAAAAACGCTGACTGACTACCGTGCATTACCAATGACTGGTAAGCCTTTTGATCCACCATATCTATAAGTACTTTAAATGGAGAACAACTGAAATAACTCAACATTAATTTTAATGTGCTGAATGATGATCTATTACATCATATACTGCACACTGTTGTTTACTATTGTATATTGTCTTCTGCCTATTTGATGTATACCGGATGATACCGTCTTTTTGCGCTACTCACTTACCAGTTTATTTATTGTCCTCACCTAACTGTACACAGAACAAGCATGAATAAGAATTCCAAAGTACTTGTTACAAATGGCAAATAAGCTTTGAACTTGAAGATAACTGCAAAACATAGAAGATGAAATCTACGAAACCTCCAAATTGTTTTAAAAGTGTATTGGACTTTTTAAGCTTTAGAGAGTATTTGGAAAGGACTCGAGTTAAGGTACAAGAAGTACACTCGTGCTGCAGATGGCTCACTTGCAGGGAAATTCCTGGCCAGAAAATTATAACTCAGAAGCAATACAAAAATTTCACAACTGCAAAGCTGTATTTAACTCTGCTCATTTCACACTATCTCTGAAAATTTAATCCAGATAGATTCAGGCCTGCAAACGGTAGGCAGGTTCGCAACAGAATGGAACAAGCTGCCA